GGCTTCAGCCAGGTCACGATCTCGCGGTCTGTGAGTTCGAGCCCCGCGTCAGGCTCTGGGCTGATGGCTCAGAGCCTGGAGCCTGTTTCCGATTCTATGTCTCCCTCTCTCTCTACCCCTCCCCCATTCATGCTCTGTCTCTCTCTGTCCCAAAAATAAATAAACGTTGAAAAAAAAATTAGAAAAAAAAAAGTATGGGAAGCAGATAGCTTGGGGACTGGTGAGCCATTTTATAGAGTTTGGATTTTATACTGAGGCCAGTGAGAACCATTTAGAGGGTTTGGGGAGTTAAGGTTGGGAGGCTGGTGAGGAGGGAGATGGGGAGGGAGGAGGATGGAGAGAGGGGAGGGGAGGAGAGAGAGGGTCTAGGCTAGGGCCCTGGCAGCAGAGATGGAGGGAAGGGATGAACACTAGGAGCAGTTTAGGATGAAAGATAGCAGGCCTAATGACACTGGATGAGGAGTGAGAGTGAAGGAGGACCTCAGGGTTTCAGCTTTTGTCAGCTAGATGGAGGGTGGGGTTGCCTGCTGAGATGGAGGCCCTCAATCTCCAGAACAACTCTCTGCCCACCTGGGTCCCGGATCAAACCCTTTGCTCACGGCATGCTTCAGGAATCCCCTAGCTGAACCATCCCTGTCCATCCAATCTGGCCTGCAGTGGCCCAGGCCTGCAGGAGGCTATGCTGATTTGGGGCACTAGGGACCAGGGGGCCCAAGAGGTGCCTCTGGGGAAACAGACTTAAGTGCTCACTGTGAAGTTAAAGCAGAGGGGGTTGACCCCCTGTCCCGTGTCCTAGTGGATAGATGGAGAGAGGGGGCAAAGGAGGACAGAGGGAAGAGTTCCAGAAGACCTGGGGCAGTGCTCTTACTTTCTGCTTATATGATGCTGGGCAAGTCACTTAACTCCCTGAAAGGCACTGTCCCCACCTGGACATGAGCAATGAAAGCTGCTACCAGCGTTGTGAGAATTGAATGACCTGTCTTTGGGGTGTGTGTGTGTGTGTGTGTGTGTGTGTGTGTGCACGCCCGCTGGAGGGTGGGGGTGGGGGAGCATAGAACCAGGAGTAGGGAGGCAGCCACGTGTCCGGGGCCATTTATAATTTATAGGTCCTGCCTGGTAGAACCAGGGCTGCTGGTGAGCTGAGGAGAGGCTCTTCCAAGATAGTCTGGGACAGTGGCCAAGTAGATGTCTAAGACGCTGGGCCTCAGGGATTTGGGACCCGCCTGCCCTGGGCTCCTGCCAGCCAAGACCCTGTCCCACTCCGAAGAGGTGGGGGTGTGGAGATTAACCAGAAAGGCTAATGTTTCTTCCTGCCCTCACGGAAAGGCAGATTTGGGGCATTTGAGCCCACACCGAGACCAGAACCCACCTTCTCAGACCTTCCCAGAGAGTTGCCTGTGGGGATTCTTCTCAGAGATTAGCCCCCACTTGGAGACAGCGCTCCCTGAGGCGCCAGGGCGGAGCTGAGCTCCAGATGTCCCGGCGCGCACAGCTGGAGGGTCACGTGGCAGCGGCCCCGGCCCCCCTTCCTGCCAACGCTGCATTTGGCCCAGGCCCGGTTCATGGCTGCCCTTGGGACCCTGCGCTGAGCCCCGGAGCCCTGGCGTCCGGGGCCGCGCCGCTCCCAAGGGACGAGAGTGAGTGTCGGGATCCCAAGGACGTGGTGGGTAGGGAGGGGTGGAAGGGATTCGGCTTCAGCGCGGGAAGGGCGGGTTGGGAATCGGGCCGAGGCTCCGAGGCTCCCGGCCTTGAGGAACCGTCCTGGGCCGGGGTTGAGGGGTGGGAATTGGCTACTAGGAGGAACTTCCAGCCCCTTCAGGGTGCCCATCCCAATGTTGGTGGGGGTGGGGTGGGGTGCCACGGCCCGGAGAAGGAAAACGCCGGAGGACGAATGGCTGGTAGCGGAGACCCTCGGCTTGTGGTCTCAGCCCCCTCCCCCTGGGGAGAGAGGGGCTGGGAGCCCCTACCAGCCGCTGGCTTTCGCGGCAGGGGCCCCTGACTGAGTTTCTCCGCAGGGGGCGGGGGCGTGAGCCACGCGGACATGAGGCGGAGGCTGCGCCTACGCGGGGACGCGTCGATCACGCTTCTCCTTGGCACCGCCCTCGGCCTCCTGCTCTACACACAGCGCGAGGGCGCGACCCCGACGACCAACGCACCCCGAGCGCATGGGAAGGTAGAGGCAGCGCCTACTCCGGGACTCAGAGTCTTCCAGGCACGGGACGCGGACGCAGCCCCAGCCCCCCTGCTCTACGAAGGGGACACACCGGAGCCGCCCACACCCACGGGACCCTTCGACTTTGGCCGCTACCTACGCGCCAAGGACCAGCGGCGCTTCCCCTTGCTCATTAATCAGCCGCACAAATGCCGAGGAGATGGCGCACCTGAAGGTGGACCCGACTTGCTCATCGCCGTCAAGTCAGTGGCGGCGGACTTCGAGCGGCGCCAGGCCGTGCGCCAGACGTGGGGTGCTGAGGGCCGTGTGCAGGGGGCGCTCGTGCGCCGCGTGTTCTTGCTGGGCGTGCCCAGGAGCACGGGCACCGACAGGGCAGACGCCGAGGGGGAGGGCACGCGAACCCACTGGCCAGCCTTGCTGCGTGCCGAAAGCCGTGCATACGCGGACATCCTGCTCTGGGCTTTTGACGACACTTTCTTCAACCTAACGCTCAAGGAGATCCACTTTCTGGCCTGGGCCTCTGCCTACTGTCCCGAGGTGCGCTTCGTTTTTAAGGGCGACGCAGATGTGTTTGTGCACGTGGGAAACCTACTGGAGTTCCTGGCGCCGCGGGACCCGGCGCAGGATCTGCTTGCGGGTGACGTGATTGTGCAGGCTCGGCCAATCCGCGCGCGGGCTAGCAAATACTACATCCCAGAGGCTGTGTATGGCTTGCCGGCCTACCCGGCCTACGCGGGTGGTGGTGGCTTTGTGCTTTCAGGGGTTACGCTGCGTCGCCTGGCCGGCGCCTGTGCACAGGTTGAGCTTTTCCCCATTGACGACGTCTTTCTGGGCATGTGTCTACAGCGCCTTCGGCTCACACCGGAACCTCACCCTGCTTTCCGCACCTTTGGCATCCCTCGTCCTTCAGCCGCGCCGCACCTGCGCACCTTTGACCCCTGCTTTTACCGGGAGCTAGTTGTAGTGCACGGGCTCTCGGCGGCCGACATCTGGCTTATGTGGCGCCTGCTGAACGGGCCCCATGGCCCAGCCTGTGCGCGTCCTTGGCCTGCCGCTGCTGGCTCTTTCCGGTGGGACTCCTAGACTTCATGGCTCCAAGATCCCTTTCATTCAGACCCAGGATAATTATTGCCGTGTATGTAATTCTCTCCCAGAGGCTGAAGAGTTCAAACTCTAGCCCCATTTCACCAGGAATTGGCCTCCACAGGGCCCCAAGGAACTAAGATTGTGCTTGGCTCCTGCTGGCCTGGAACCATTCGAACAGTAGTCCTTTGAGACAGCCAGGGCTGAGGCCATAGAGCACCAGGCTCTGCCAAAGAGGGACACGTTTGGTCCTCCTACTACCAAATAGGTTTTGGGGAGCTGGGATGGGTGGTGGTAAGAGGCTCACGTAATCTGACCCTAGTCCTTGGTTTGGAGGCCCTAGAATGCTGCAGATATAGTTTTTTGTTTTTTTTTCTCCAAGGCTGGAGGAGGTGTGGGGGCCTGGCCTCAGTCCTCCAGGCAGGCATTTGGCTTCCCACCTGCACCTCCAAATCAGATTTTCAGCCCTGGGCAGATCTTTAAATCTTCTGAGGTCTTTCCTGAAGCCAACCCCTCCTGGGCCCTGGTCTGGCTGGAACACCAGGGACAGAGGCACACAGGGACAGCTGAGTGCATGGTCCCACCTAGAGTCTCCCCACTGCAGAACTTTCACCCATACAACAATGCCAGTCTCCTACTAGAGGCTATGCTGCCCCACTCAGAGGAGCCAAAGAACCCAAGATAAAGCTACCACCATAAAACTACCCATATTCTTCAACCACCCACTTTCTCAAAAATCAACACCCCCATGTTTATTTTAGTACAAACATCCCAGCAACAGCACGTGGTAAGCTGCTGCTGAGGGCATAGGCCTTTATTGGAGGGGTATGGGCAGGGCATGAGGAAGGTTCCCCTATTCTAGGAGGATGGGAATAGTCCTGGCTGCCCCAACAGTGGGATGTAATGTGGGCTGGGGGGAGGGGGGTCCTCCGGCCAGGCCACAGTCCAAATAGGAAGACACCAGTCAGTCACAAAGTTATGGGAGCGCCACACAAGCCTGGCTGTAACCCAGGAACCACTTAGGAGCCTGGGGCAGGTCCCCTGCACATTCATTGTTAAACTCTACAGGATGAGGCTGTACATGAGTTAATTACAAAAGAGTCATATTTACAAAAATATGTACACACATTTGAAAAACTCACAAAATTGTCATCTATGTATCACAAGTTGCTAGACCAAAATATTAAAAATGGGTAAAATTATACATTTCTCTTCTCAATTCTTTTCAAAAGGATTATTTTTAAAGCACATATGCTACTTTCCTTAGTAAGACCCATGTAAAGACTGAGCAGCCCAGCTTTCCTTGAGCCCCAGAGGCCTTGAACCATGAATGGGCCTGGCCAGGGGACACTGCCCAGGGTTGGGGCAAGAGAGCCAGCCCTCAGTGCAGAACAGAATGCTGAAACAACAAAAGGAGGAAGATGTCTTTGGCTAAAACTTTGGCATTAAATAAAAGAGGCAAACAGGATGGAAACATGCAGCCTGCCAGCCATGTTGGGGAAGAGTGGGGGCACAGGTGACCTTGAAGGCTGGCTCCAAGAGGGGTAGGAACAAGGCCTGGGCACATACCTAGATGGTAAAAAGTTGTGTTTCAACCAGTTGGGTGTGCCTACTGGGCCTGGTAGGGAGCGCGTGCAAGGAAGGAACAGGGAAGGGCAGGTGGGCCACGTTGGCCACAGCCAGCTCATCAAGTAACTAAAGTAGATGTAGTGCAAAAGTTGCAACCAAGTACTATGGACATGCTACCTGCTTGCCTTAAGGGTCACGTGGCAACAATGGGCCAAAGGCAGGACCTCATCCTCGTCCTCGGTGCCTGTGACCTCAGCCACAGAAAGAGTCCCAACTTTTCCCAATGTGTGTGGGGCAGGGGAGAAAGAACCCTGCCTCCTTATGTGTTAGTCGAGGTCTCCTGGGTCCAGGTATCAAGGCTCAGAGTTTGTGCTTCTCTTTGCAGTCGGTGTCCTCTGTTGGCACCAGCAAGCCGAGGACAGAAAGAGGAATATCTGGGCCTCTCACTCCATGGCAGAGCACCCAGTCTGAGCCCCACCTCAGAACATCACAACAGCCCTTCAACACTGGCAGGGTGTCCAAGAAAACCCACAGGGTGGCACATGGAAGCCTGCTGAATAGGATGCGATGCACATCTCCACAGGGCAGAGGGGCATGGGCGGTGATGTCCTTAGGGGAGCTCCGCTGTTCTCAGGTGGGCACCAGGCCTGGGGGGGCCATACAGGGTCACCGAGGCAATATGGTTATTCTGCATGACCTGGTGTGAGTAGAGGACAAGGAATCAAAGGGAAGGAGAAGAAGGGATGTAGGCAGGGCAGGCAATCATCCATAAAAACCACCAGTGAGGCTAGTACTGGGGCTGTGACTGCAGAGAAAGGATTTGAAGCAGCTCCTGTGCACAGTGGATTGTTCCATGTACAAAACACCTGCACACAGGGGTGGGCTGATACCTAAACACCTCCAACTCATGTTAGAGCTCATCTCTGGCCCAGAAACTGCCTGCTCTTCATGGAATACATCAACTTCACTATACCTATTTATCCAGTCCTTCTGGAACTGCTTGGGGCCTACTGAAGTTATTTGGGTGTAGCAACCAAAAGAGAAAACAGGGACAGCCCATTCCTCTCCCAAGCCAGTGGGGCCTCTATAGACACTTACCCATAGCACATTCTTTCATATGGCATGCAAAGGTACCCAACACTCTTGTGGTGAGCCCCACTTGCCCCCTGGCGTTTCCTCTCCTACTGTATTTACATTCTCAAATATGTGGGATCGCCATCACCTCTCACCTTGTTGGATATAGATCACTGCTTTAGCCTCCATGATCCCAAATTTCCCCAACATAGTTTCTGAACCCTTACTGTTGAATGTGGGTAGGTCAGACTCTTAGCAGACAGGGTTACTGTGGAAGGATTAACTCACCCAGCAGAGCCGTTAGGCCCTCCCCAACCTTTCTCCATCACTTGCCCATCCCTGGCATGGCCACCAGCCTCTTAAACCCCAGGGCTTACCTCAAAGATCATCCGCTGAAGACCAAAGCAGAATGTGGAGCCAAATGGGTTGGTGTTGTTTGGGGAGGAGGACCTGAGGCCAGGGAAGCCAGAATTAGAGGGGCAGACAAAAGCCGAGGCCAGGCAGGGCATCCAGTCCCTTTTGGGATGGGGGCTATTGTCCACTGGTCTCTCATGGCTTTATCTGTTTCCCACAAAGGCCCTTGAGGTCCCAAGGGTGGTGACAGGTCTTATTCAAGCTCTGAATCCTACACAGTCTAGTGGTACACAGAAGGTTATTATGAAGTTAGAGTGGCGTGGCAAGAAGTTAGGAAGGAGGAGCCACATGCAGCATGGCAACTGAGTACAAAGCTGTGGGCTGCAGCCTGTGAAACTCTGATGGGAAAAAAGAGTCCAGGGAAGCCAATGAAAAGTGCTTCACTTTCTGAATAACTAGGGGTGAAAGGGTCCCTCTATCTGGAGGTAGCTGGAGGGGGGCTATCACAGGGGGCAACCTCTCTGGTACAGGTAAACATGCAGAATAGCTGGCCCTGTTGTAATGTGCAGGGTGGGGGCAGGAAATAATGTCTGTGGCAACACTAGCAACTTCTGTCATTTCTAAGCCATAGGCACTGCTAGGCTTCCCTACCCCATCTGGGCTGTGAGGAGCAGGATGGGGTCATCAGAGACAGCAGCCTCCCGCTCACCTGTGTAGGACAACAGGCTTCTCCACAGGGTGGCCCAGGAGCTCTTGGATACTGTCCCACTGCAAAAGGGATGGGGGTGGCAAGAGCTTAGCAGAGACCTAACCATGCCTGTGACCAGTGGCTGGCCCATAGGATGTGGGCCCCAGACTGCTGGTGGGCTCATACCCACTTCATTTTCGGGCTACATCGGGTGGGAAAATATGAGCTCACCTTGCTGTAGGTTGTGCATGTTTCTGTCTGACCATCTGCATTTTCTGAAAAGAAACATAGGGTGGGTTGGTAGCTGGCCCAGCACACCTGTGACCCCAGCCCTAGGCGGAATCCAAACCGGGCCACCCTGTGCATTGGGGTTGGAGTACAGAGGGAAGGCAGATGGGCTATTTCAGAGTTCTTGGATGGAAGAGGGTAGTGAACCAGCAGATGGACAGCAGTCACAAGACTGACCTGGAAGCACCTGGATAATCATGTATAGGAAACTCCCCATCAGAGACAACCAATCCCCACTCATCAATCCCATGGTCAAAGGAAAAGACCTTTAGAACCTTCAGGAGACTACAGACCAGAACAATACAGCCCCAGAACAAAGAGCCCAACCCAGAGGAGCTGAGGCTAAGGGCAAAGGCTCCATAAACCCAACCACTAGCATTTCTGTTTGGATCATGGTCTCTTCTCATCATGAGAGACTAACTCTCCAAAACACTTTCTTTACTCTGAAGATATTCACTACTTACCTTTCTTTATGGCTAGTGGGATCTTGAACTCACAGCGATGATAACTAGAGAGAGAAGTCAGATAGGTAAAGGCTGGGCCCCATGAGAGGCCTGACCCCCTGTGCATCTCAACCCTGCAACCCAGGAAAAACATAATGAATCTGTCCCCCAAAGCCCTGGCTCTGGGGTCTAAAGACCCTATCATCTTGGATAAGATACCAAGCTCTCTGAACCTATTTCCCTATTTGTAAAATGGGTACAAATGGAGAGATAAAAGGTATTGGACACTGTACCAGGAACAGAACGAACACTCAAGAAATGTTTGCTTCCCATAAAACTAAGAATTTAGGTACAAATTAGTGAGCATTCAAAGCCACAGCTTTTACTGGGAATTTTTAGTTCAAAGCTCAGTTTTGGAGGGGCAGGTACAGGTATACTCACATGTTAAAATTATAATGCCCAGGGTAATTGGTGTGTAGGACAAACTTCTTCACTTTGTGTGTATTTGCGTCAAAGAGGATATCCTGGGATAGAAAACAAGGATTTCCAAGTAGGGAAAGTTACTGAGGTTGGGAAAGGACATGTCCAACTCAGAGATGGCCACTTCATAATAGAGATGCCTCTGGACAACAGCCTTCTGCCAAACAACAGTCAAGGGAGCAGCTGAGGCAAGCAGCCTTAACTGGACATTTTCAGTAAAGGGGGGGGGCCCAATCATCTGTGGGTCTCCCATTCCAAACTTGGTAGCAGCAGGCCAAGCAGGTTTGTGGGCTACAGCTGCCACTGCTTGGGAACTCAAACCTATCATGGAGATCTTGCCTAACAAGCACTCGATTAAAAACTCTTGGCTTAAAGGTCACCAAGAAGATTCAGCGACCACCTGACTTTTCAGAGGCTCAAGGCATCTAATTACTCTGAATGCCATGACCGCAAGACCCTTCTGGCTTCCATTAGGCCCTCTCTGTGAGAATCAGTGACCCTGGGAAATGAAAATCCAGCCTCTGACCAGGACTCAGACTTGGAGTTGATGCTGCCTATCGAACACTCTCTCCTATTCACCACACCCTTCCCAGTTTCACACTCTGACAGCTGTTCAGGCCTGTGACCCCAGATTTCCCTCTGATTCCATTCCTACATTAGCTACATTAAGTCCTATTAGGGCCGGGCCATTTGTTCCATCTTTCTTGTCACTTATCATCACTGGTCCTTGACCTCAAGAGGTTCAGTTTACAAAGCACCATTCTCTCTGTCACTGTCCTACCTCAAGAGTTTATGAGCCTGCTGCCGTGCCCCTACTACCCCTGGCTCCTTTGGTCTTTATCCACATAGGCAGACCCAGTATCTCCTCTCTCCCTCTCCAGAATCTACCCTTTCTTTGCTGTTTCAGGAACTCAGGCCCTAGAAGGCTCAAAGGTTAGAAGAATCAAGGTCCAGGCCAACCCTGCCCTAAGAGATGTATCCTGCTAGGGCAGGGTTTACACAACTTCTCTCACACACATCCCATCTACTAGCAGGACTGTCAGCACTGACAGTGGCCACAAGCTCTGTTCAGCACCCTACATCCAGAACACAGGGCCACAGCAATGCCTCTGGGGTGATCCCCTGCAAATACATAAGCACACCCCTACTTTTTAGTCTCCCTATTTTGTGACTCCAGAAGAGGGTCCTGTGTTCTACAAACAGGCAGATCCCAAAATAGGTTAATTGGGATGACTCCCACAGCTGCCACCTTTGCAGCACGCTTCCCTCAATAAAGAAGCCAAGACATACCAGGGAACCTGTGTTTCTAAGCAATCTTGGTGGCAGGGAAGGCCCACTTTGGGGTACCAATGCAAGGCAGCACTGGGCAAAGCCAGCTGGGGCTAGTTTTCCTGCTGCCAGGCATGGTTACGAGCTCCACGTGTACACAAAGGTATGCCCAGGTGCATGGTCCACCACCACAGAAATCCAACATTTCTCTCAGGAATCAGAACTTACCACTCCAAGAGTGAAGTAGTTAAAAAAGTAGTCATTGCACTTGGATGGAACTTGTTTATGAGGGGAAGGAGAATGAATTTTCATCTGTTAGGAAAAAAATAAAATAAAATCCAACCCCTTAATACAGTTCTTGGATTAACTGCAAGTCTACAAATTGTGCTTTGTGTGTAACATTAAGCTATCAGGTGAGCAAGAGTGTCAGAGTCCCTGCTGCTAGTGCTGAATAACACTGAGTTTTGGTTGACTACAGACTAAGCCCTGGTATCCAAGAAAAGGCAAGACAATCTGATCAACAGGATCAGACAAGAGCTTTCAATTTAATTCTTTGTCAACTGTAATAGAACAGGTTCTATGGAAAAATAACAATTTATATTTACTTGATATTAAGTTAATATTGATTAAAAAAGAAAAGTGGAGCTGGCCCAGTCAGTAGGTAGAGCATGTGACTCTTGACATTGGGGTTGCAAGTTAGAGCCCCATGTTGGGAGTAGTGTGTACTTAAAAAAAGAGAGAGACTGCCTTTTTGACTTTATAAACACATTTCCCCTACCTTGTCTTCTGACTTATAGAAGACCTTGTGTGGAGAGCCAAGCATGCTAAGAACATCTTGGCAGGAATCACCAAAATACACTGAACGTTCAAATACCCGCATCTTGGCATCTGCTAATAGGCCAGGTCCACAACCTGCAGAGGAGAAGGGGGAGGTGGTCAGGTTCCCAGCCAGGGCCTGAGATGCTGCAGCCTAAAGGCCCAGGGGCTCCCAGAGAGGCCACTTGCTGCATGCTGCATTATTAGCTCTGGCTGAGGGGCAAGACTGCATATAAGCAGAAATACCAAGTGATACAGCTTGTGATGTTATGAGAGATCACCATCTACTTGAAATAATCCCAGAGACTCATTCAATCCCACAAAAGTGATGTGGAGCTCTGGAAACTTTATTCAGTCACCAAATATTTACTTATTAACTACGATGGGATAGACACTTTGTTAGATATTGAGGAAACATGCTGGGCAAAACAAGTGCAGTCTCTGTCCTTATTGGAGCTTATGGTGTGAAGATCCCAATCCCACACCACACAACTGTGGTACAATAAACAGCAGCATAGGTGCTATGGAAGTATAGAATGAGGTTCTATCTCTTGCCACTTTCTAGGTCCTGACAAGATACAAGAATTTATGTTAAGAGGGGCTTCTCAATGGTAACCTCCAACCAGAGACTGGACCTAAAGAAAAAAAGCACTCTATAAAAAAGCCAAGAGTGAAACATCCATTAACTCATCCCTATTTCTACAAACACTGATAGACCCACTAACACTCAAAAACGAAAACCAGAGAAGTGGGAGGATAAGAAAACCTGATTTGCCACGAGTTTCTTCTTTGGGAAGAATCTTTAAACCCTGACTCTAATACATTTCAGAAACAGTTCCAGTTAAACACACACATAGCAGCAGCTGTGGAATAGCAATAGACACTCCTAACAGGAAGATTTTCCCCATTCGGTGGATGGAAAGACAAAGTATTTTCTGTCTCCTCCACTGGGGGAAAAAAAAAAAGGTGGGGGAGGTACCTGGGTGGCTCAGTTGGTTAAGCTTCTGACTCTTGATCTTGGCTCAGGTTATGATTTCCCTGTTCATGGGACTGAGCCCTGTGTTGGGCTTGGTGCTGACATCACAGAGCCTGCTTGGGATTCTCTCCCTCTCTGCCCCTACCCTGCTCATGTTCTTTTTCTCAAAATAAACTTTTTTTTTCTTTTGTAAAAGGCAAGAACCTGAGGAAGACTGAATTTCCTGGTGCATGATAACCACCATCACCTTACTCTGCACAGAACTTTATAATTGACAAGGCTCTTTATAATAATCCATTTATTATATAGGGAAGACTTCAGGAATCCACACTCTGAAATAAATTGGTACCGAGTTCTTCAACTAATCCAAGAATCTTCAGTCACAGCACATATACAATGAGTGGCAAATAAGGTTGTGTTTAAATTAACTAGGTCCTGGGAAAACCATAGTCCACATTAACCTCGGTCTATATATCTTGCAGTTTTGGCAATCCTGGCTGACCACCAAAAGTCCTATACTGTAAGCCCAAAGTCCCCAGGTACACTTGTGAATATGCAGATGGGGCTACTAGGAAGGCACTCTTCACAGGTGAGTCTTCTCTCTTGTCTCACTCTACCTGAAGCCTACCCAGGTAAAAGTACCCTTAGTTTTAGGAGCCTATTTTAGCTTCTGATTCCCTGGAGTGAATCTTCCTATAAATTATTGTGAGGACCAAGATAGATGGAACTGTCTTCTTATCTTAAAAACATCACTGTACCTGCACTCCACAGGAAACATGTGAGAAATGGGTTGGCTGAGACAAGTTACGCTTGCCAAAGGAAACTCTCAACGAGTACTAGATTGGACAGTAACTTGGGTGAGTCCCTGACTTAAAGTGTCTCCCCAACTCATCCGGCAAGCAGTGAGATGTGGCTGCTGGAAGTGTGCTATACAAGGTGGAAGTCAGAACTGGAGAGTCCCCGCTGTCACTTGGGATAACTGTGCCATCCTTGACTACCTCAGTGTTTCAAGGAGTGATCCTTCTGACAAGAAAGACCCTAGAATGACCTTGTTGCTACATCTCAATTCTCTCAAACAGTATAGCTCAGGGGCGCCTGGGTGGCGCAGTCGGTTAAGCGTCCGACTTCAACCAGGTCACGATCTCGCGGTCCGGGAGTTCGAGCCCCGCGTCAGGCTCTGGGCTGATGGCTCAGAGCCTGGAGCCTGTTTCCGATTCTGTGTCTCCCTCTCTCTCTGCCCCTCCCCCGTTCATGCTCTGTCTCTCACTGTCCCAAAAATAAATAAACGTTGAAAAAAAAAAAAAAAAACAAAAAACAGTATAGCTCAAGTGCAACATTAGTTTTCTGCTTGGCTAGAAAACCACACTTTTAGAAATTTCTAACCTGGAGGTGGGGAACTATCTAACTGCTCAGGGGAGTGACTTCAGAGTTCTTACACCAGATTCTTCATAGTTAAGAACTAGTGCCTTAGAAACGAATGCAAGACCCCAATTTATGAACAAACACTGGCTAGGCATAGCTCCTATGCTGGCACCCAGGCCAAAGGCACGGAGGCAAACTCGACATAGGAGATCCCCGTACTACTAATACGAAGCATGACCCAAGGTCCAAAGTAGCTGAGACTGGCCATGCCACACAAGGAAATCACAAATGAGACATGGATCCTAGAGAGACCAGCCACTGAAGACAGCAGCTCTTTTTTTGTTCATAGTCAGCAAAACTCTCAGTGGATGTGGCCAAACCAGAATTCAAGAAGTCCCTTCTGCCAGCCTCCTGAGAACTGGGCATAAGGGGTAGAAAAGGGCAGAACACTCCAATATCGAAGCTCATAACATGCATCTCTAGTAAACAGCCTGGGAACAACTGAAAATCTACATAAGCACACAGAAGGCTATATACATGCTAGGAGAAGCAATGCTACTGTTACTTATTAAGATTTACTAATGACAAAACTGTGTCTTGTCCTTTTTCATTAAATTTAAATGAAAGCTTTAAGCATAAGCATCTACATTATCTTGTACCAACTACCTCTAAGCATGTGGGATTTTAGACCGTCTCAACATGAATATAATCCACCACCCCAAGGCCAGTAACTGACCTGCAGCAAGTAGCCGAAGTCGTAAACCTGAGGGTCCAGTTCCATCTCGAAGAACATCTACACTCTCAGCATACACATTGCCAAGGAAACAGCTCAGGGGCATCACGGGAGCCCTGGAGGCAGGCACAGAATGAGCAGAGGCTTCACCCTCCCTCCCAGGGAGCCCATGGCCCATGAAGCTTGTGCTCCCCAAACGCACTTGGTATCCTGTAGGCTGTTTCCACTGTAGATGTACATTCGTTTCACAGTTGCTCCGTGGGGTATCTGGAGAGAAGCTAGACCATGGGCAAAATTGGGCTGCAAACACAGGACAAAAGTTTTACTGAGAGCCCACTGCAGGCCATATGGCCCAGGCTCTGGCATTTCTCCAGCACTCATGGTCTTCAAGAACTGGCCAGGTCAAAGCTAAACAACAGTTAAACCTGGCTCCAGGTCAATAAACTCACCCCATCCATTCAAGTTCATCTTTCATTTTTACTCAGTTTTTCTTTCCTTCATCAAGAAAAACATGCAGGAATGCTTCCTTTAATAAAATGTAAGCCTTACAAACATCTATCATTTCACGACCCTAAGGATGCTGCTACCTAAGGATGAATGAAACATTTTGCTAAAAGCAATAAATAACTGAAAATCCAGAATGAATTATCTCAAACTCTAGGTTACTGAAAAAAACACAGTGATTTAGTTTTAAAGCAAGGCAAACTGGATTTATCTCTGAAAATCCTCACTCTGCAGTGGGAAGTGCCCTCCCCCTGGGAATGCTGGCTCAGGCTTTGTTCTTGCTATCAGTCCTATCCATGTTGGCCCCTAAAGACCTCAGAGATGAGGAAACCAAAGAAAGGGTACCTATCCAACCTCCCCAGTGGCACTGTCTGCTGGGCCCATATCACCTGGGTACTGGGTGACAAATACCATGGGAAGGGAAGGGCTAACCTCGTACTTGGGAGCCTCAGTCCACGAGTCTAACTGAAAAGAGAAAGACAGTCCTCTGAAGTTGAGGTGGAAGAGCTGCTCAGCGGAGTTGTACACTGTAAGAGTGGGGAGTAGAAAACGACATGGTTGAATGGTACCAGAGATGAGAATACAAACTAGCCTGGTAACACCTTCCTTGTGCCTGATTCTTGAACTGACTTACTAGGGTGAAAACAAGAGGGAGAAGCTTTCCCTCACACCCAAGTATCAACCCACAAATTCTACCAGAACCTGGCTTCCTGTAGGAAGGGGCACTAGGGCTGGGATGGTGCCACTTGCCAGGCTTATCATTATAGGCTGTGACAGAGGAAACAGATAGACTTGGCTTACCTCCAGGATGGGTCGCACCAAAAGACTGGTCAATCTGCTCAATGGTGGGAGCTATGGCCTGAGAGTTAAAATGCACTCCACTGAAAAACAAAGATGCTTTTCAGGTCACTGAAGATGGTGGCTGGAAGAGTTATTCTTAAAACACAGGCAGGTGAGCCTACAAGTATGTCAAAACACAAGTTTAATTAAAGAACTTTTTTTTTTTTTAATGTTTATTTTTGAGACAGAGAGAGACAGAGCATGAATGGGGGAGGGTCAGAGAGAGACGGAGACACAGAATCCAAAACAGGCACAGAATCCAAAACAGGCACAGGCTCCAGGCTCTGAGCTGTCAGCACAGAGCCTGACGCGGGGCTCGAACCCACAGACCACGAGATCATGACCTGAGCTGAAGTCGGACGCTCAACCAACTGAGCCACCCAGGCGCCCCTAATTAAAGAACTTTTAAGTGAAGGATAATTAATGGGGTCAGAATAAATCAAGTCTCCTGAGACTGACATATTGAATTGATCCTCTAGGGCCTCCCAAGACACGTGTGGTCACCAGGCACAATTTAGAAGGAAATAAATTCAGTCTCAGCCCTATGGCATTTGGACTTGGATAAAGAGGGGCCCCAGGGAGAGTATGAATGTGCTTTCTCAGGATGCCTATTAGCAGTTTGGCTTGAAAAGGAACTTTCTTAAAAAGGGATGAACATCTTAAGAGAACAGTGTATAACCAAGCAAAGCAGCTTGCTTTCTTACTAGGCAGAAGAACCAGCCAGCACCCATGGACTAGGTGAACAGGTAGGTTGGGGGTGAGGGGCAGATCCCATGCAAAGAGGAAAAACCCAAGGGGCAGGGGCTTGGGAATGAAGAGCAACTCATGATTTCAGATGATGAGCATGTAAGGAGAATGCTTAAAGGTTAATTTAAAAATTACTATAATTCATGGAACACCTCTTTTTTTAGCCAGGCATGGTGACAAGTGCTTTGCCAGCAGTATCTCATGTCATCTTCCTAACCTAGTAGCCGCGTACTGGCTTCATTTCTCTGATGGAAAAACAAGCCTAGAGAGGTTAAGTGACTTGCCCAAGGTCACAGAGGTAACAGAATGATGAACACAGGCCAGTCTAACCCAGAACCTCATGATTTTACCCACCACTAATTCTTGTTATTTATTTAATTTTACCTACCACCTTAAAAAAAAAAAACAAGTATGAGGTGGTATCTCATTGTAGTTTTTTTTTTTTTTTTTAATATAATTTATTGTCAAATTGGCTTACATACATACAACACCCAGGGATCATCCCAACAAGTGCCCTCCTCAATGCCTATCACCCATTTCCCCCTCTCCCCAACCCCCACATCCACCCTCAATTTGTTCTCTGTATTTGAGAGTCTCTTGTGGTTTGCCTCCCTCCCTCTGTTTGTAACTATTTTTTCCCCTTCCTTTCTCCCACGGACTTCTGTTAACTTTCTCAAGATCCACATATGAGTGAAAACATATGATATCTGTTCTTCTCTGACTTATTTCACTCAGCATAATCCCCTCCAGTTCCATCCACGTTACTACAAATGGCATGATTTCATTCTTTCTCATTGCCAAGTAGTATTCCATTGTATATATAAACGACATCTCCTTTATCCAGTCATCAGTCGATAGACATTTAGGCTCTTTCCATAATTTGGCTATTGTTGAAAGCACTGCTATAAACATTGGGGTACATATGCCCCTATGCATCAGCACTCCTGTATCCCTTGGGTAGTGCTATTGCTGGGTCAAAGGTACCTACCACTAACTCTTAAGAGGGAAAAGACAAAGAAAGGCTCCAACAAAACTAAAAGACAAAAAGAAATCTGCCAGGGGCCAGTACTATTACACATTTGCTTTATCCACTTCTCTATTGGCAAATGCTGCTTGAGCCAGCCCCAGGAATTGGACCCTTTCACGCCCTCACAAAGGGAAAGGGAAGCCCGTTAAGGAAGCTTACTAAACAGAGTATTCTAGATGGTAGCACAGCACCTTGCCATAAAGGGTGCTCAAATATTAGTTCATGATATAGGCCACCCCCATTTTCATTCTAAGAAGTAGATTTTGGGGCGCCTGGGTGGCTCAGTCGGTTGGGCATCCGGCTTCGGCTCAGGTCATGATCTTGTGGTAACGAGTTCGAGTCCTGAGTCAGGCTCTGTGCTGACTGCCTGGAGCCTGTTTC